ATTTTCTTTATATCCAAAAGGGCAAATATATATATGATAAAATTTTAAGGTTGATATATTATTGTTTGAGGTACATGTGATATACTTACTCATCTAACAACCAATTTGAAGCAAGAAAAAAAACAGAAAAAGAAAAACCAATTTATTTAACTCTTAGTTTGCATGCATATTTATATACACATGCATGCATGAGAATTCTAATCTTGTTAGAATCACTGCTCGGGTGTTAAACACATAATTTAACAAATTTGTTGTTCTTTGTTTTCTTCATCAATAGAAAATGGGAATCAACAATCAAGTCGTCACTCCGTTTCAACTGATAAGGTATTATAATACTTATTACAAGATTATTGTATATATCACTATACCTAAATTATTTCATTTCAAGATTTTATTTTAAGAAAGATTTTCAAGATTATTTCACTAGGCGTTAATCTATTATATTCTTGATCGGTAGATTGAGAAACGACATAATGGTATAATGCTTTGACAGTTTGAAGTCATTTGTTTTCGCCAATCATGCACTTTTGCAGAAATATTGTTTATCATTATACTCAATTCATGGGAAAAAAGCAATTACTCATTCCATTGTTATGCAGTCAATTTTAAAAGGTTTTTTTAATGATTAGTCATTTATAGTTTTAAATTTTTACATGATTCAAGTTACTAATGGACACTATATATGTGTGTGTTTTTTTATGTTGCTATGTGATGGATTTTCTTGATTTAACACCGGGTATATGTATTTCGCCGTAACACCCAATTTATATTCATTGTTCCACATAAACAAACAAGTTATCGACTTAAACCGCTTAATATCTTTAAAAAAAAGCAGGTGATCGAACATGGTGATGTAATGAAGAATATGATACGAGGAAGAAAACTCATGATGACAAGTGGAGAAGAAGAAGAAACGACAATGAAGAGAGGAAATAGTGAGACAGTGAAAAAATCAAGCAAAAGTGTTGACGAAGATGGACTCGTTGCTTACACTGCTGATTATTGGAGAGCAAAGCATCATCCTCCCAAGAACAACTAATTCTAATTCTGTTTTAAATTAATAAGCTTTTTCTGAATTTCTCTATAGATATATCTGACTTTATAATATATAAAGTGAAATATGTTTGTAATATTATGTGTTTAATATGCTTTTGTAGTTTCTTTTACTTTGTAACTTTTAACGGCTTGACTAATGGTTTATATATGAACCAAAATTTTGAACTTTTAGTATGTATGTAATATGTATTATAATTTTTGAAATAATTCTGGGTATGTTAATATATATGATCGGTCATGAACGATATACGTAAAAGAGAGAGAGATAAAGATCCTTAAAAAGAAACTCATCGAACTGC